AGCTGAGGAATAACTATTGGACTATGAACTTTGAATAAGACGACAGGCCAACCTCCTCGCCCTCCCACCCTCACCCCGTCGCATCAGTTCAACGGCGAACCGAGTCGAACGCGGTGAGAACAAGGGACAAAAATAGTCGATGGGGAAGAACACATATAAGCGAACGGGTACAAGCAGAAAACTGCCACTTCACAAGCACTGATGATATCACCTCGACTGGTGATGAAACGTTTGTAAACAAATTGCCAAACTCGGTGAACATGCGAAATGGAAAGGTTTGGACTAACGTGGTTTTCAATATATTCATCTGATAACTTCACAAACAAATCGATTCGATCGAGAACTGACCGGAGTGTAGCTAGCGTATCACATAACACGACGAATTCTTTCGTGACCTTCAGATCTCGATGAGCGATATGCCTAGACTTAACTAGATGCTCAACTTGATTCTTCAGAATAGTCACTGGTCACTGTCTGTTTTATGTGTCCAGTCGACGGCCTAGGTGAATAGCTCGGATAAGTGGAAATTGCCTTATGTGACTCAGTCATTCGGTACAAAGCTCGCAGATTCGTTGCCATACACGCAAATTCTGGCTCTCGATAATTACGTACTCTTGCCTCAGAAGCCGGTCGATTTTATTAGGTATCTTATCAAAGTTTATTCTGACCCAGAGAGACCCAAATTTGTCCAAGTCAGCAGCGGTTCGAAAGTAGTAACTATTAATGAAACTACAATCATCGTCTGATCTCATCCAGTTTAAAATTCACTCTAGTTGATTTCTTCGCCATTTTCTGTGAATTTTCACCATGTTTAACACATTTATCAAATCCCGTCTGTCGCATTATCAGACCGTGAATACCGGGGACTAGTTTACATGGTTACCATATACCACGCATCCCGCTAGCAAAGGTTCCAATCAGAGTTTCCAGGTGAAGTAACCAGATAACCATAGACCATCGATTAATACATCACGAAATTCGTAACCGTATATCGTTGAACCCAGTTCTCTCATAACACCTGTTTACAAATACACTCGAAATAAAAACCGAGCATAATAGTTCAAAAACAGTTTTGTCCACTCAAAAGATGGAGTTGCCACTGCAGAAGCGATCGACATTCGTTTGTTTAGACTCGGTCTAGGTATGCACACACACACAGAGAGAGAGAGAGAGAAGTGATTGATCCATGCTATTCAACTGGTTTGGTCGGCAATTGATCTCCTCTGGATGCAGTGTTGTTGAGATTTATAGTGGTATGAAACACGTCACATCACTCATCTCATCCTCCCCGGCCCCAAATCAATATCTTTGACCTTTGAACGTTTTACATATAACGTGTGGAGCGCGGCTGTAAAAAATTTCAGTTTGATTAGGCGTGTCTTCGGCCAGTTTCCGTCAGNTTTTCCCTCGTCTACTATCAGGCATACATTCACCCACTCACACAGTATGCTATGCAGGCTCCAGGAATCCATGGTTACAAAGTGAGTCCGAAATGATGGAGCGTCTACAGCGTTTCGACAATATTTGTATTCAACTTGTGATTCACAGGCAGAAATCAGTTTTCCGCTAGGCTTTGACTATCTATATCAAGGAAGAGTTGTGGAATCTTGCTATAGATTTACACTCGGACTTGTAGCTCGTGTACGTACCGAAATTGTTACAGTAAAATAGTCCAACCCAACACTGTAGAACTCGGAATGTGATCGGAACGCAGCACTCGACAAGGCGATCAAATTGTGGTACGTGGAAATCGGGAATTCACAAGGATATCGTGTTCAATAAAAAGAATGAGCACATAGTCTATGCACATAATCACCACATCTCCCCACAGCTTGAATGAAGCTCCGTAATCCCGGTGGTCTTCCTTGCGTGACCGTTCGGATTTTCTTGCTAAGTCGGTACAATTTTCAAAATTTAATAAAACGAATGTAACTCATCTGAAATAGATTCAGAAATAGCCGGATTAGTGCATTCACAACTAGCATCAGGACTGGTTTACAGCACCATCGTCTAAATCAAATATGTGATATACTCTTTGTCCCGTGTGGTCTAGTGCGATGCCCCTGAAGTATCATAAGTCGCTATCACGCGATTTCCACAAACTCCAAGTGTAGAATATTCCGACGAATTATTCGAAACGTTTAACAGCTTCGCCGGACTATGGCCCGTAGTTGAATGTACTGCGTGACGATATTGCATTCGAAAGTTACCGACGCCTCTGTTCAGTGGCATTCATTAATGTGTGTACAAAGTTTTCGGCTGCACTATTGATTTGCAGATGTCCGGGTTGAATGAGAATATGTTGACAACTCACGGAATTCAACCTGTCTGTAACTTTGTTTTCTGTAAAAGGACTTCCATTTTCCGTGAGGATAGTATGCGGGACAACCGTTTTACCACACATTTTCCTGATGGTCGAATGGTAACTTCAGTACTGAGTGATATAGTGAAGTGGACTTCCGGTCAACGGGAGTTGACAATCACCAACGCGTAATACTTGTTGAGGAATGGAACACAGTAATCCCCGCATATTTGTTGTCATGACTCGGAGATAATGGACACGTAGTCCTTCTCGAACGATGTCTATGTGTATGTCTATGTTTGTTTTTCAAATGTGTGTATTCTTCACAAGAGTTATCCAATCGGTGAACACAGTCATGCATGCATGATACTAGCTAGGTTCGTTGTCTTTAGCTGAATGCGACATTACATGTGGCTTGGTTACCGACCAATCTGTGCATCAGTCAATGATCAAGTGAGTAAGTATCTGGACCTGGGACAATGTGGTTGACCTAGCCTACGGGATAAAGCCAGCCACGGAACGACGCGTTACGCGTCAACGAACCACAGACGAATCGTGGCGACCAATCAGAAGTCATGCGGTCCAGGTAGAAACTGTATGACGTTAAAAATACAAGCAGGCGATTGGTGGAGACCTGTATAACCAATAAAACTAATTTCTTCATGTTATTTATTCTCACTGATTTCTGTCAATAAATGAGCTGCTACTTCTGTGGCATTTTTCCCTCGTTTCGGTGAAGGGGGATTCCGGCGTACAAGTGCTAGTGCGATTCAGTGCTTCAGTTGCGTCCGTGGTTCGTAATCGGTGCCTTCCTCGACTACTACAGATGTACGGAGCGAGGGGTGGGGATTAGGAACTGCATAATCAGGACGATAAGTTTGGGTTTAGGAATATGTGATTTCTCATGGGAATAAAATAATAGTAGATTGATTCTACTTCTCCAGTTTGCAGTGGACTTGGGCTCGAGAGGGCGGTAGTTGATTCTCCTTGACAATGTACATCACACAGTCGACTGTGGTCCGACTCGCAGCCTGCACATCGAAACTGTTGACGTACCGAAAGTTCACCACAATGTGTGTTTAACTGATTATCCGAAACAAGAGGGTGATTACGCAACTATCATGCACCTAAATGTCCAGTGAGACAGAACCACCTTGCACACTTAAACCGAATGGCAATTGGTCAGAGACATTGCACTTGTCTCGTATAGAAAAAGAGATACAGCCAGTTTTTTGGAAGGGAGCGGATATCGATTTAAGGCTACCGTGCAGGTAATCAGAAAGTAGGGTGTTTGTTGCGTGATACTAAATGCCGGACTACAATACGATAGGCAGAGGATCTTGATCAATTGCATAGAAGTAGGATAATTTGAATAAACTAAGTGGTTCGTGTACCAGAATGACCCCACGTAAGCGTCATTGAAGATCTCTGTTGTTTTTCTTCTATCCTGTCATTCATCGCCTACTCACGCCAAACCGGGGAGGTCTTTATTTGATGACAACTGCTTCCCTGTCCTGCGTATGCAGTTTGTTTAACACCTACAACTGATTTGTTGCGGGTGGGGGAACAATCGGTCTATCACCGATCTCGTTGGTATCCGGACGTAATCGGCGAGTTTGACGACAGAGTGCACCCGCTTGTCTGATGTCATGGGTGTTATGTGGGAACTCGTGTTAGGCTAAAAGTACTACAATATTTCGATTAACTTTTAATTGTTTTAGTCCTTCGATGTGTGTGACTGTCTGTTTGTGTGTGTGCATCAGGGTCAGTAAAGAGATCTACAGATGTTTTCTTGTGATGTTGAATTCACCATCTAAAAATGGATTGAGTCATTCACACAGGGTGATAACCGTCGACCGTGTAGCTCAGGGGTAAGAGTTTGAAGTCGAGACCCGATCGATCGTGGTTCGAGTCCTGATAGGGACAAAAAAAGTACGCACACTGCTGACAAGTCCCAAACAGGACAGGACGCAGCTGTCTCTTTGTCGTTCATCACAAAGATGTGCATCGTATCCCACTGCATTTATCATTTGGGAAATTAACGATCTCCTCAGGGAGTGAAGTCCAAACCTAAGATCATCATCATCAATGCCCAGTGACTGTGAAAAACAATTCATCTAAAGTATCAAGGTTAGTAAGTCCAAAACTCTGAAAGTGCCGTGTAACATAAATAGAAACTATGAGAATTTTGTGTTGCACTCCTCAATGTGGCACTTCAGGTTACTCGAAATTGTTCGACTTTTTCCACCCCGAATATAAGTTTCAGTTACCGAGTGAATGAACACATCTCGGCTTAGCCTAAGAAAGCAATAAACGGTAAGTTTGAAACTGTCACGTGATCGGAGGGGAAGAAAAGATTGTTTGATATTCGATCACGCAATACTTGATTGAACAGTAACACATAGTCACTCAACCCCGTCGTAATTTAAATCATTTAGAGCACAACAAGTTACTGAAATCCACGGAGGTTCTGTCCACTTATACTCATGAATTCGATCTGTGTTAAAAATATGAATAATTTTTGTGTAGCACGCTTGGATTAGCCCATTCGATTGTTAAGAGGTACAAGGCACTTTTATGAATAGTTGATCGCATTAACATTTCCTTGATGGTTGCTTCCCCCCCTTCCAACTTTTTTTCGTGAGAGTTTGTTCTATTGTAGTGTGTTTCTATGAACGATTTTGTCCTCGTCGTACGTTTATCCCGTGACTGAGCATAAAAGCCACTCGAAATGCCGTGCACATGTGTCATCTAGATGCAACGAAGTGATCCTTGCTAAGTTGTGACTTGACTTGGTTTTAGAGTAGGCACATTTTCTCATCCAGGGAGGATCGTAATTGCGGACAGTGCAACTGGGACCGTGATCAGCAGTATCACGGTGATCAGCCTCCTCCTCCTCCTCCTCCTCCTCCTCATCATCATCATCATCATCATCATCGTCATCATCCTCATCATTATAATCACTATTCTCAACATACCGATTGAACCGGATCGGATGCATTTTTCGTGGAAATGGTTCAGCATAATCTGAGACTGCAAAATGGTTCCATTAGCCTTTAACAAGTTGTGAGCTCACCCAGACAAGCACTTAGACATGCATGCACGCACGCACACACGCACGCGTGTGCGTCGACGTGTACGTGGATTGTTTGTATCCGGTTGTGAAGACGTAAATCAATGGTCGAACAGACGCGTCCAAAAATTGTCACAGTGGTTCTCCATTAGAGTTGGCGATGATGATGAGGAGGACCGCAACACAGGCAAACCCGGCAGAGCACGTGTGAACAGGCCCTGGTAATTGCTAATGAATGCAAACTAAAACAAGACAAGGAGGCTAGCGGCGCCGTTTTTAACACCCGGGGAAAATGTGCGATAAGTGTATATTGCCCAACAGGTTCGTT